CTAGTGTCCTGTGGATCACCTTTCACCATCGATGACGGCACCAGCCCCACTCCAACGCCCGAGCTCTCCTCATCGCTGGTTCCGCGCAGCCCCGTCTAGCCAGAGACCGTCCAGCCTGAGCCCTCCTCTCCGCTGGTTCCGTCCAGCCCCGCCGAGCCCAAGCTCACCTCTCCGCTGGTTCCGTCCAGCCCCGCCGAGCCCGAGCTCTCCTCTTCGCTGGTTCCGTCCAGCCCCGCCGAGCCCGAGCTCTCCTCTTTGCTGGTTCCGTCCAGCCCCGCCGAGCCCGAGCTCTCCTCTTCGCTGGTTCCGTCCAGCCCCGTCGAGCCTGAACTCTCCTCATCGCTGGTTCCGTCCAGCCTCGTTAAACCTGAACCCTCCTCATCGCTGGTTCCGTCCAGCCCCGTTAAGCCTGAACCCTCCTCATCGCTGGTCCCGTCCAGCCCCACCCAGCCAGCGCCAGAGACCGTCCAGCCAGCGCCAGAGACCGTCCAGCCAGCGCCAGAGACCAGGATCCCACCCAGCCTCCCTCTCCCACCTCCTCCCGTCATTCATCCGTCAGCCTTTCTGTCTGCCAGCCCTCCCAACCCAGCCTGGTCGTTAGATCCTCAGTTTTCACCTCCCACCTCCTCCACCTGGACACTTCCTCGGCCCCTCGTCCCATCTGCTCCCCCGTGGCTCTTACCTCCCTCAGCTCCTCCATGGCCCCTCAGTCCACCAGCTCCGCCAGGCTCCCTCGTCCCTCCGGATTCCCTGTGGTCCCTCGTCGTCCTTCCCTCACCTCCGGACTTCCATCCTCCGGCTCCGCCTCGTCATGTCACCCCCCCGGTTCAGTTGGACTCCTCACTCCCTCCAGTCACCCGTCAGCCCTCACTCCCTCTGTCCTCACCGTGTCCCTCTGTGCCCCTGGCATCACTTCAGTCACCTGAGCCTGCGGTGTCACCATGTTCCCTCGGTCCCTCATCAGCACCACATGTCGTCAGTCCCTCAGCTTCACCCTGGTCTCCTCTCCCATCTGCTCTGCCCCTGTCAGTCGGCCCCCTGGTGTCGTCAGCCCCATTTCCATCGTCTCCACCAGGGGTCCTCCTTCTACCTGCTCCCTGCTCTACCTCCAACCTGGCCACGCCCTCAACCTGCTCCGCCCTGGCCACGCCCTCAACCTTTTTCGCCCTGGCCACGCCCTCAGCCTGCTCCGCCCTGGCCTTGCCCTCAACCTGCTCCGCCCTGGCCACGCCCTCAACCTGCTCCGCCCTGGCCACGCCCTGCTCAGCCCTCAGATCGTCCCCCCTCCTTCCTCTGTTCTGCGGCGTGAGGCCACGCCTTCCGGGAGGGGGGAGTTCTGTCACAGTCTGCGTCTGCACCATCCTGTCTGCGTCTCCTTCACTACACTTCCCATGATCCTCTCGTCTGCACACCTAAACTCACTCCCTCATCAGCCTCCCGTTCAGCGTCCTGTTTCATCTGTATCACCTGTTTGCACCTCGTTATGTTTGATTCCTCCTTGTATTTAGTTCTCCCTGTTTCAGTCAGTCTTTGTCGGTCGATGTTGAATGTATCCCTTTGTTGCGCCTGTACCCGATCTTCTTACCTGTATTTTTGAATTAAATTTATCTTCATGTGAATCTGGACTCCTCCTGTTCATCAGCCCGCACCACAACGGTGACAACTTGAAAGGAGATATAGTATTTCTACAGAAGACCCACCTACATAGTGGTGAGATTATGTGCATCAAAAGGAGTAGGTTCAGCCAATTATATCACTCAAAATTTAGTGCAAGAGCCAGGAGTGCTGCCATTTTGATCCAAAATAATATCCCATTTGAAGCAGAAGAGGTTCTTGCGGACTTAAATGGCTTGTATTTTATTGTATCAGGGACACTCTGTCACATCAAAGTCATCCTAGTTAGCATCTATGCGCCCAATTGCGATGATGTAGAATTTATTTAAAACATTTTTTACTGTTATTCCTAATATTGAAACACGCCATATTATCATTGGGGGAGATTTTAACTTTGTACAAAATGCTGATTTGGACAGATTTTCCTGTAGACCGCATTCCCTTACAAAGTCTGCCAAGCTAGCGTCTTTTGCAGAAGTGCTGGGTGTGTCTGATCCATGGAGGCGTAAAAAGGGTTGCCACCCATCCCTTAAAATACGGCATCGTCCCGTATTTGTGAAATAAACAGCGCGTCCCGTTTTGAATCAATACGGGACGCGGTTTGTCCCGTATTTCCGAACGCATGATCCCATGCAAATCATGCCACCCGCATTCTGTGAAGACTCGTCCTATTCTACGCTTGATTGGGTAATACCAGAGCCATGTATTCAGAGAGTTCTGACAGTCCCATAGACCGCCATTGTAACTCAGGAATGCGGAAGTAACGCGTGTCATGGACCCGCCCATTAGTTCCAACCACTGATAGTTCCAGCATTGAACCCCATTCATTTTCAGTGCTTCCGAAGTACACTCGCTGGTAAATTAATGAAATTACTGTATTTATTATTTTTATACATATTAGCCGACCTCTCGTGAATCTAGTCTGTAGTTATATGTTATATAGCCAGATCTAGTAAATGTTTATTGGAAGATAATAGGTTAATTGCAGCGATAGCTTACGTGACCAACACTTCACTAATGTTGTTAGCTAACTTATGGTTACCTGATGTATATAATATTTTTTTATAACATCATATATATATATATATATATATAATATTAGATATACAATATATATATATATATATATATATATATATATACACACAATTGATTTATTTAAATGGTTTAGGGTTATGCATGTGTTTGTGTAATGTATACAGGCATATATATATATATATATATATATATATATATACAAACCCGATTCCAAAAAAGTTGGGACACTGTACAAAATGTGAGTAAAAAAAGAATGGAATAATTTAGAAAGCTCATAAACTTATATTTTATTCACAATAGAATATAAATGACATATCAAATGTTGAAAGTGAGACATTTTGAATTGCCATGCCAAATATTGGCTCCTTTTGGATTTCATGAGAGCTACAAATTCCAAAAAAGTTGGGACAGGTAGCAATAAGAGGCCAGAAAAGTTAAATGTACATATAAGGAACAGCTGGAGGACCAATTTGCAACTTATTAGGTCAATTGGCAACATGATTGGGTATAAAAAGAGCCTCTCAGAGTGGCAGTGTCTCTCAGAAGTCAAGATGGGCAGAGGATCACCAATTCCCCCAATGCTGAGGCAAAAAATAGTGGAGCAATATCAGAAAGGAGTTTCTCAGAGAAAAATTGCAAAGAGTTTGAAGTTATCATCATCAACAGTACATAATATCATCCAAAGATTCAGAGTCAAGGCCGGAAAACCATACTGAATGCCCGTGATCTTCGGGCCCTTAGACGGCACTGCATCACACACAGGAATGCTACTGTAATGGAAATCACAACATGGGCTCAAGAATACTTCCAGAAAACATTGTCAGTGAACACAATCCACCGTGCCATTCACCGTTGCCGGCTAAAGCTCTATAGGTCAAAAAAGAAGCCATATCTAAACGGGAACCAGAAGCGCAGGCGTTTTCTCTGGGCCAAGGCTCATTTAAAGTGGACTCTAGCAAAGTGGAAAACTGTTCTGTGGTCAGACGAATCAAAATTTGAAGTTCTTTTTGGAAAACTGGGACGCCATGTCATCCGGACTAAAGAGGACAAGGACAACCCAAGTTGTTATCAGCACTCAGTTCAGAAGCCTGCATCTCTGATGCTATGGGGTTGCATGAGTGCGTGTGGCATGGGCAGCTTACAGGTATATCCAAGTTCTAGAACAACATATGCTCCCATCCAGACATCATCTCTTTCAGGGAAGACCTTGTATTTTCCAACAAGACAATGCCAAACCACATACTGCATCAATTACAACATCATGGCTGCGTAGAAGAAGGATCCGGGTACTGAAATGGCCAGCCTGCAGTCCAGATCTTTCACCCATAGAAAACATTTGGCGCATCATAAAGAGGAAGATGCAACAAAGAAGACCTAAGACAGTTGAGCAGCTAGAAGCCTTTATTAGACAAGAATGGGACAACATTCCTATTCCTAAACTTGAGCAACTTGTCTCCTCAGTCCCCAGACGTTTGCAGACTGTTATTAAAAGAAGAGGGGATGCCACACAGTGGTAAAAATGGCCTTGTCCCAACTTTTTTGAGATGTGTTGATGCCATGAAATTTAAAATCAACTTATTTTTCCCTTAAAATTATGCATTTTCTCAGTTTAAACATTTGATATGTCATCTATGTTGTATTCTAAATATAATATTGAAATTTGAAACTTCCACATTATTGCATTCTGTTTTTATTCACAATTTGTACAGTGTCCCAACTTTTATGGAATTGGGTTTGTATATATATATATATATATATATATATATATATATATATGTGGGGGGGGGCAATACATAGTACCTCGTATAAATGTATTTGTGTGTTTTCTGATGAATGTTTTAGTCTATGAAAAGGGTAGGATGAGGCCACTGAATTGAATCCCAACAGTTATGGATCATATTTAGGAACAAATATTTTACTCATTAACTCATCATCATCATCATCATCATCATATCTTTATTCAGGACATACATATTAAATGGTCCATAGCACTATACAAAATAAAGTACATTCAAAATAGAAAAGATACCTAACAGTTAAAATTTACCGAACATTACTGTAAATATGGTCATTGCTACGTCATGGGAGCAGTCTATATCCCTTCTAAATCATTCATTTGTACATGCACAGCGTAATTATTTATATTTTACTTTGGTTGTCGTGATTGTTATCCTGAACGCGCCACCAGTCCACGGGTCTTTGCGTGATCACGGTAGGCTAATGGCTGAATCGGAATTTATAAGCAAGATCACGGGAATCAATAACCTACATCCCAGTTGTGCTAAAATAAATATCATGAGACGTCCATCATCAGATGAATGTCAAAGACAGACGCAGGTAATCGCATGCGCTCTGCCGATCTCTTTCATTCACTGTCTGTGCAAAGCCTCTGTAGGCTACACATCACCACGATAAACAGTCTCGTTATCATCATGAACTTGTCAAACATTCAATACACATGCATGAAGAAGTTCAAAACAAGAAGGGTGTAGCCTTATAAAAAACGTTAATATCACGGTTCCTGCGATTATTTGCAATCCTCCTGCTGATATACCTCTGCGTCCTCTGCCGTCTACACCAGTGCAAGTTAGTGAAAGCAGATCAACACGGAAGGGGGATTGTTCTTTACAACAATCAATACTACATTAATTTGCAGTTGAATGTCTATAATAATAGTATCAATATGTTGCATAACTACAGACCTGTATTTCAGGTAACAGCTGGAAAATGCTTTTTTCAAAAACAATTATCTAAATCTCGAAGATCGGATCGAATCGGATCGAATCGAATAATGATAATCGATTTCAAGGATTTCTTTACCTATTCCAACACATCCCGGTACTTATCTCAAAGAAGTTTCCTGCTGAAGTAGATAAATTTGTCTCTCGTTCCCTTTCGTAGTCACTTCGAGTTACGTCAGAAGTGACGGAGATTGGGGGTTTCGCATAGAAAGCCAATCCTCTTCGAGTATTTAAAAACGAGCCAATGGCATGCAATGCCTTGGGGCTATGGAAATTTGCATAGCGTACTCCGCCCTACTCCGTGAGTATAAAAGGAGGAAGTGAACGCAACCGCAGTATGTTTTCGCTTCGGAGCCAAGAGAACTCTTCACTCCTGAAAGCCATTCTCACTGTTCAAGACTCTTCGAGACGAGCGTCCTCTTCAGTGTTGGTGTGACGGCGGTACCCAGCGAGATTCTGCATCGCCTGCGACCTGAGCAGTGGTCTGCCAGACTTTGCGCTTCTCCCTGGTCGCCTCAGCGCTGAAAGAGTGAATTTCCTCCTCTCTAAGTGAAAGAGCTGCACGCGGCACGTCTTTTTAAAGACGACTCGCCCGTGTTCTTCTGGGTGCGGTCGTTTCATGTCATTTTCTGATGGTCGCAATCGCTGCTCTGTGTGTGCCTGGGCTTCAGCATGCAGTAGCAGCGTTCGCGGATGACTCATGTTCCTTCTAAAGGGGAACATGAGCATCTCTACACTGTGATCGAGACTCAATGATCTGATAGTGAGAGTCCCCGTGTCCGTTACTCGTTCTGCTTCTAAAAATAGAAGCTCTTCGACTCGCGGATAGGGTGATATGACGGTGAATGTGTGACACTCCCCCCGACGTTAGTTAAAGCCTCGGGTCACACCCACCGCTCCAGTGTTAGAGCCAGCGAGCGCTGTATCGCTTCAGACGTCTGCCTCTCTGAGGTACCGTCTGTTTCGTTCAGCGCTCCAGAGAGTGATGCGATGACGATCGCAGCATCACAAGGCGGGCTTGACTCCTCGGGAAGTGAGGATGCTGCCGCGTTGCCTCCCTCGGGAGCGTCGGCGTCGCCGTGTCTGATCCCGCGATGATGGCCATGCTATCTCGGGCCTCCGTGAGCATCGGGTGGGGGTGGAACTCCGCCCTATCCCGATCTCTCGCGGATGGATAATTGGTTTTTGGGTAACGCTGCCGCCTCACGGCCACGGCCAACCCCAATTTCCTTTTTTCCCGAGTTGCATGCGGAACTGACACGCACTTAAAAAAAAAAAAAAAAAAACAGGGCGTGCTTCAGTTCCCCGCCCTTCCTCCCCTCGGCGATGCGGCTGTCTGTGGGTACGCTGGGGCTCCCCCGGTGGAACGCTCTGTTGCGATGCAGCTGCGTCCACAGGGCGCGTCCACCCGCGGTTGCTCTCAGATGCCCCTCCAAAGCCTATGGGTTCTCGTCGTCTATGGCGGTGCGATTCTGTTGAGCGGAGGGACAGGCAGCCTCCGCCCTGCATATGATGAGCACCTACAAAGTGTCTGCTCAGGAATGTGCACGAGGAGAGGACGGACCAAGCGAGCTGCGAGCCTGCCGCCTACCTTGCCCTTAAACGGGTCACGGAAGCGGTCGCTCGCTCCCTTGGTCAGGTGATGCCCACCGCTGTGGTCCAGAAGCATCATCCAAATGTTCGGCGGTGCGGTCCAGGACTTTTCCCAGCACTTCTCGACCGCCTAGGAGCAGACGAAGGCGGTTTCTCTGCCCCGACAGCCAGCTGCTGCCTCCAACCAGCCGTCGGCTCAGACGCCTCCGCCCGCTCGCCGCCGAGGTCGCCCCCCTGCGGCTCCCTTCCCTCCCACGCGGCCCCAGCAGCAGCCTTCAGCCGGTTCGCGTCGCGGAGGAGGCCACAGGTAAGCGTGTGTCCCCCCCCCTCATTCCGTGTGCCCCGCTAAACGCCAGGCGAAGCGATGTTCCTGAGGCGGGCCGCTCAGTGATAGTGTCATGGTTTTTCTCAGGAGGCGGTAGCAGGGCCCCTCCTTTCCCCGGTGGAGGGCCGGTGGAGAATCTTTTGTTCTAGCTAGCTCCTTGAGCTGGTTGAGGAAAAGCTGACACTGTCATTGAGCACACAGACTGGAATGAGCGCGCACGACGTCCAGTGCGTCGCCCCGTTCATTCCTCTCTGTCTCTGAGGGTGCGGATGGGAGCGTGTGCCGTCCCCCGACTACACCACTCCCCTCCCCCTCTATCGCCAGACCCCCGGCAGAACCCAGCCAACATGTATATGTGGGCCCCACATGGTTTATGCTTGGGCTACGTGGGTACCAAGTGGGTATGGTCCCAAAATGGGCATCTTTTCTGGGGCCCACTTGGGTCAGCTACGTCGGTCCCACATGGGCAAAAATAAGTGGGCTCCCTATGTGGGTCCTAGTTGGGTCACTAATGGGACATGAGGGCATGGGCTCAAAATGGGGAACACAAATGGGGCCCATTTGGGTTTATCAAATGGGTGAGACATTGGCAAATACAACCAGTCCCATATAGGCTGCCTGCGTGGGCCCAAGGTAGTACCCACATAGATAATCTCTATATGGGTTATGAATGGGAAAAATATATGGGGTCCACTTTCATAACCCATATGGGTCAGACATGGGCAAACACAATCAGTCCTATATAGGCTGCCTACATGAGCCCAATGTGGCACCCACGTTGGTAATCTCTATATGGGTTTTGAATGGGGCAATACATATGGGGCCCACATGGCCAAACTATATCGGACAGACATGTGCAAACACAATCAATCCCATATAAGCAACCTATATAGGCCCAAGGTAGTTCCCTCATAGGTAATCTCTATATGGGTTCTGAATGGGAAAAACATATGGGGCCCACTTTGATAAACCGCATGGGTCAGACATGGGCAAACACAAACAGTCCCATTTAGGCTGCCTACATGGGCCCAAGGTAGTTCCCTCATAGGTAATCTCTATATGGGTTCTGAATGGGAAAAACATATGGGGCCCACTTTGATAAACCGCATGGGTCAGACATGGGCAAACACAAACAGTCCCATTTAGGCTGCCTACATGGGCCCAAGGTAGTTCCCTCATAGGTAATCTCTATATGGGTTCTGAATGGGAAAAACATATGGGGCCCACTTTGATAAACCGCATGGGTCAGACATGGGCAAACACAAACAGTCCCATTTAGGCTGCCTACATGGGCCCAAGGTAGTTCCCTCATAGGTAATCTCTATATGGGTTCTGAATGGCAAAAACATATGGGGCCCACTTTGATAAACCGCATGGGTCAGACATGGGCAAACACAAACAGTCCCATTTAGGCTGCCTACATGGGCCCAAGGTAGTTCCCTCATAGGTAATCTCTATATGGGTTCTGAATGGGAAAAACATATGGGGCCCACTTTGATAAACCGCATGGGTCAGACATGGGCAAACACAAACAGTCCCATTTAGGCTGCCTACATGGGCCCAAGGTAGTTCCCTCATAGGCAATCTCTATATGGGTTCTGAATGGGAAAAACATATGGGGCCCACTTTGATAAACCGCATGGGTCAGACATGGGCAAACACAAACAGTCCCATTTAGGCTGCCTACATGGGCCCAAGGTAGTTCCCTCATAGGTAATCTCTATATGGGTTCTGAATGGCAAAAACATATGGGGCCCACTTTGATAAACCGCATGGGTCAGACATGGGCAAACACAAACAGTCCCATTTAGGCTGCCTACATGGGCCCAAGGTAGTTCCCTCATAGGTAATCTCTATATGGGTTCTGAATGGGAAAAACATATGGGGCCCACTTTGATAAACCGCATGGGTCAGACATGGGCAAACACAAACAGTCCCATTTAGGCTGCCTACATGGGCCCAAGGTAGTTCCCTCATAGGTAATCTCTATATGGGTTCTGAATGGGAAAAACATATGGGGCCCACTTTGATAAACTGCATGGGTCAGACATGGGCAAACACAAACAGTCCCATATAGGCTGCCTACATGGGCACAAGGTAGTTCCCTCATAAGTAATCTCTATATGGGTTCTGAATGTGAAAAATATATGGGGCCCATTTTGATAAACCGCATGGGTCAGATATGGGCAAACACAAGCAGTCCCATATAGGCTGCCTACATGGGCCCAAGGTAGTTCCCTCATAGGTAATCTCTATATGGGTTCTGAATGTGAAAAATATATGGGGCCCATTTTGATAAACCGCATGGGTCAGATATGGGCAAACACAAGCAGTCCCATATAGGCTGCCTACATGGGCCCAAGGTAGTTCCCTCATAGGTAATCTCTATATGGGTTCTGAATGTGAAAAATATATGGGGCCCATTTTCATAAACCGCATGGGTCAGATATGGGCAAACACAAACAGTCCCATATAGGCTGCCTACATGGGCCCAAGGTAGTTCCCTCATAAGTAATCTCTATATGGGTTCTGAATGGGAAAAACATATGGGGCCCACTTTGATAAACTGCATGGGTCAGACATGGGCAAACACAAACAGTCCCATATAGGCTGCCTACATGGGCCCAAGGTAGTTCCCTCATAAGTAATCTCTATATGGGTTCTGAATGTGAAAAATATATGGGGCCCATTTTCATAAACCGCATGGGTCAGATATGGGCAAACACAAACAGTCCCATATAGGCTGCCTACATGGGCCCAAGGTAGTTCCCTCATAAGTAATCTCTATATGGGTTCTGAATGGGAAAAACATATGGGGCCCACTTTGATAAACTGCATGGGTCAGACATGGGCAAACACAAACAGTCCCATATAGGCTGCCTACATGGGCCCAAGGTAGTTCCCTCATAAGTAATCTCTATATGGGTTCTGAATGTGAAAAATATATGGGGCCCATTTTGATAAACCGCATGGGTCAGACATGGGCAAACACAAACAGTCCCATTTAGGCTGCCTACATGGGCTCAAGGTAGTTCCCTCATAAGTAATCTCTATATGGGTTCTGAATGTGAAAAATATATGGGGCCCATTTGATAAACCGCATGGGTCAGATATGGGCAAACACAAGCAGTCCCATATAGGCTGCCTACATGGGCTCAAGGTAGTTCCCTCATAAGTAATCTCTATATGGGTTCTGAATGTGAAAAATATATGGGGCCCATTTTGATAAACCGCATGGGTCAGATATGGGCAAACACAAGCAGTCCCATTTAGGCTGCCTACATGGGCCCAAGGTAGTTCCCTCATAGGTAATCTCTATATGGGTTCTGAATGTGAAAAATATATGGGGCCCATTTTGATAAACCGCATGGGTCAGACATGGGCAAACACAAACAGTCCCATATAGGCTGCCTACATGGGCCCACAAGGTAGTTCCCTCATAAGCAGTGTTGGGTGTAACTAATTACTAATTACTAAGTAATTAGTTACTGTAATTTAATTACTTTTCCCTTGAAAATGTAAAGTAAGGGATTACTCTTCATTTATCTGTAATTTAATTACAGTTACTTCTGATGTAATTGAGGTAAATAGCTACTGTGTATCGATCAATCCGATCTCACAGTGATTCGTATGCATTTTATGAGGTGTCTAAATGTTACGACCGCACTCGTACAAATTCGTATGAATTGTTGTAAAATATGAAAAAAGTGCGAAATGTAATGAGATCAGACATAAAAAATAGTGGGTTTAACATCAAAATATACTGTCTGATGTTAAAAAGTATGTTTTTATAATCGAACCTTCTCCTTAGTCAGTTTAAGGATAATTCATGCAATTTTATAGTATTTATTTGAAAGAATTAAAACAGATTCATGCCATCCTTGTATTATTCAGCTGGTTGAGATTGATTTTGGATTTTGAAAGTAATTAGTAATTAAAAGTAATTAAATACTTTTTAGAGAGAGTAATTAGTACTGTAATCTAATTACACTGTTGAAGAGGTAATTAGTAACTAGTAATTAATTACTTTTTTAGAGTAACTTACCCAACACTGCTCATAAGTAATCTCTATATGGGTTCTGAATGTGAAAAATATATGGGGCCCAT